ATATATATATATATATATATATATATATATATATATATATATATATATATATATATATATATATATATATATATATATATATATATATATATATATATATATATATATATACACATATATATATATAGGGGTCAGTCGAAAGAAAATATGGTTCGCCCTTCGCATGCCAAGATGCCCAAAGGAGATTTTCTACTTGGGTAGTAGCCGCGATTTGAGCTGTCTTTTGTTTAAAGTGAGGGACAGTTGCCCAATTTGTCAGCCTCACTCCCTCGTCCTATATGATCCAATGGCGAGGCTTCGTCAAGAAGACTGGAACCAGACCAGGATGCGTCAGATGACTAGCAGCGTGTGTGTGTGTGTGTTTCAATGGGGTCATTATGCCAAGTGACAGAAAGAATTATAATTTTTAATGTTATTATTATTGCAGCAAAAAAAAAAAAAAAAAAAATAGAATTGTTACATAACATTGCTCTCAACTACTCCCCCTCCACCCCAGATATCACAATATAACAAAATGATACCACCCTACCCCCGGAAAACCCTTTGCGTTATATAATATGTGAAAGGGTCTCTAAGTGGTTATTACTTTATTGAATGCCCGCGGTAGAGGAAGTGACGTGAATAAACACGCGATTTGAGGGGAGCTAACCGATGCAGTGTTTAAACCTCCCCAATGGTCGACAAAACTTTTACCGCAAGTGCCGTCCCCCTTTCTTTCATAATTGTATTATTTCTAATCAGAGGCGTAGCTAGAGTGTTTGGCGCCCGGGGACAAGATTCACTGTAAAGCGCCTGCCTTTCTTTTTTAGTCTCTCAAACTTTTTTATTTTCATCAATAAAATAATATCGAAGCACATTTCGGCGCCCCTAGCTAGTCTGGTGCCCAGGAACATCTGTCCCCCCCTCTGCCCCCTTAGCTACGCCTTTGATTCTAATGAAAGACACACACTGGATTTGATAACGTATAGTTGAAAAATTGTGACTTGTAACAGGAAAAAAACAAAGGTTTAAATTTCCCTGAACCTGAAAGGGCAAACCTGTTCCAGTGGGAGTCTCTCTCGGCTCTAGTTCCAGACCAACATGCCACGGTAGTAATACAATTAAACATTCGTATGCATAGGACGTCCAATGGGGACAGCGTGGTGGCGAATTATCTGGAGAAATGAAAGCTTCAAGAAGATCTTCCACAGATCTACTTTATATTACAGCGTTTCCCAAATTTTTAAGTGTAGGGGAATTGTGAGCAAGATTGGGAATGGCACCAGGGACCGGTGCCAGATTTGTTAATCATATTTCCCTTCTAGTCCGTCCTACATTTTCATGTTGTGCGGACCGGCGACGTAAGGCTCACAGACCGGCAACGTAAGGCTCACAGACCGGCAACGTAAGGCTCACAGACCGGCGACGTAAGGCTCACAGACCGGCAACGTAAGGCTCACAGACCGGCGACGTAAGGCTCACAGATAGGCGACGTAAGGCTCACAGACCGGCGACGTAAGGCTCACAGACCGGCAACGTAAGGCTCACAGACCGGCGCCCGTCCGCGGACCGCCATTTGGGGAACGCTGCTTAAACGACACGTCACGACTAGACAGCATTGTTTGGACTGGCAGGAGGGGATTTAACTCTTCGGCAATGATTAGACGGCATGGTCAGGGCGAGTGGGGGAGTGAACTGTGGGAATTCTGACTTGGGCGTTTGCTTGGGGGGGGGGGGGCGAGGATTCACTCGACTAAAAAATGGGATTTTTTTTTAAAAAGCTAATGTTTGTTTTAATAACTAGACCGTGGAATAATTAATGGAACTGTTCGCGTTTAAACAAATAACATCCCAGGCAAGATCTGCTCTCCCCCCCCCCACACACACACACTAGGTCTCTGTCAGCGTTCTTGCTTAAACTCTCCCAGCCTTAAAGCTTTGTCATTAATTCTGGATTCAATATTTACTTTTTGTTTCTTTAAAAAAAAATCTTAAAAATTATAATAAAATAAAATATTTCAGTGGTGAGAACTACCGTGTCCGCTAAGACTGATTTTCTTTCTCTTGTTCTTTCTTTTTTTCCCTTCTTTTTTTCTTTTCTTTTCAAACGGAACACGTTAGATAAAGTCACTTGTGTACAGATCCCCATTAGCATAGCACAATTTAACTAGGAGTAAATTACATAAAATAAATAAATAAATAAATATATATATATATATATTATACATTGAAAACAGTATATACTTTATTGCTGCACAATACATTTAAGCTTCACAAATACATTTTTAACAAAGATATTTGTTCAAATAATCCCATTAGAGTACTGTGGTCGCTACAAAGAATCCAATCAGAGAACTGTGTTTGCTATAAAGAATCCCATTAGAGTACTGTGTTTGCTATAAAGAATCCCACCAGAGTACTGTGTTATGTTA